TTTTTTTGAAATTTTTATAACTCAAGAATTCCGGCTCAGAATTTTGGTGTGTAACAGCGCCACACTAAGTTAGGAGATGTTTTTGAGAAAAATTTTAAGTTTTTTTTTCAGAGCGGCAGCGACCCCTATGCATTTGTGGAATTTGCTGATCATTATACGGCTGCACAAGCGCTCCAGGCAATGAACAAACGAATTCTTCTGGACAAGGTTTGAAAATAATTCGTTTTTAAAGAAATACTCGTTTCGCCTACTTTTGCAATCTTAGGGCTTTCGGTCTTTTTTCAGATTCTCTGTTTTTGTGATTCGTCACCGATGCCGGGTAAATTACATTTTTTTTTTTAGGAGATGAAAGTGAATTGGGCAACGGAACCGGGCTCGCAAGCAAAAGTTGATACGAGCAAGCATTTCCATGTGTTCGTTGGTGATTTGTCGCCGGAAGTTGATAATAAGGCGTTAAAAGATGCATTTGCTCCATTTGGCGAAGTTTCGTAAGTTTTTTTTGTTTTTGAGAAATTTCTTAAAATTTTTGTGAAAATATTGACTGAACTTCGTAAACTTCCAGAAAAAGAGTACTCTGGTAGCGGAGGAGCGAACTGCCTCCTTAGAATCGAGCTGTTGAAATGCAGTGGTTTCAGAATTTTTTAGCTAGAATTTTAATACATCGATATTTTTTTGTTTTTCCTCCCATCCCAGAAAGTTTCTCCGCTTTTTCTTCAGATTCTCCACCCGTCTATTTTGGATTTTCTCCTGTCTTTAGCGTCTGTTTTCTGGAAGGAGCATTGTATTTTTGTTCGGTTAAATACCTAGAGGTTTGCTTGGTCAGCAAAGTGGCGCTATAAATGAATATAAAGCCTTGATACTATGTCAGTTGTTCGTTTCTTCGGTTTTGATAGATACTTTTTATAATAGAAAAAATGCATACAGTGATATATGGCGTACGGTAGTATACGGTACGCAATAATGTGTGGTATCTAATATACGGTAGTAAAATATCACCACATTCCCTCACATTTTTGCAGAATATGAGATAATGTGATGATAACTAACTGATTTAAAAAAAATTATAAAAAAAGTGTTTTTTTGCTTTGCTCGTTAATTGTTCATGTCAT